AGCTGCCGCCGAGGCGCGGTGGCTCAAGCCTGTAATCCCAGCACTTTGGGGAGGCCGAGACGGGTGGATCACCAGGTCAGGAGTTTGAGACCAGCCTGGCTAACACGGTGAAACCCCGTCTCTACTAAAAAATACAAAAAACTAGCCGGGCGAGGTGGTGGGCACCTGTAGTCCCAGCTACTCGGGAGCTGAGGCAGGAGAATGGCGTGAACCCGGGAGGCGGGGCTTGCAGTGAGCTGAGATCCGGCCACTGCACTCTAGCCTGGGCAACAGAGCGAGACTCCATCTCAAAAAAAAAAAAAAAAAAGAGTAATGCCGCCCACCTTTATCTACTATGGGGCTCTGGTTCCAAGCAATAAATGTTGAAAATAGCTAGCCTGGGCGACATTCACAGTGAGACCCCTTTCTCTACAAAAAAAAAAAAAAATTCAGCCTGGCACCCGTCTCTGCTACAAACACAAAAAATTAGCAGTCCCAGTTACTCGGGAGGCTGAGGCAGGAGAATGGCGTGAACCCAGGAGGTGGAGCTTGCAGTGAGCTGAGATCCTGCGTGCCACTGTACTCCAGCCTAGGTGACAGAGCGAGACTCCGTTAAAAAAAAAAAAAAAAAAAAAAAAAAATTGGATTGGTTTAGGGAGAGGAGATGTCGGGATGTCGGGTTGAAAATAAACTACTCTGTTAGCCGTCTTTCCTACTCCAGGGCTTAGGAATTTCCCCTTTTGGTTGTACCTTTTTCTGACTTCAAGTCCTTGACTTCTCCCAGTCATGTTCTCATCCCAGCTCTGAAGTCACCTCTATGTTGACTTTGTTATAAACTAATTTGATTCTTCTCTCCCTCTGCCCTTGACAGCATCTGTGGAACCCTCCATTCTGTGGATCAGGTGAGATATAGTAAAGGCCCAGAATTGGTTCCTGGGGAAGGAGAGGGTTGGGTTCTTACATCATGTCTCTAGGGTTAATAATGGTGTTATTCGGCCAGGCGTGGTGGCTCACGCCTATAGTCCCAGCACGTTGAGAGGCCGAGGCCTGAGGTCAGGAGTTAAAGACAAGCCTGACCAACATGGTGAAACCCTGTCTCTACTAAAAATACAAAAAATTAGCCGGGCATTGTGGCGCATCCCTATAATCCCAGCTACTCCAGAGAGGCTGAGGCAGGAAAATCGCTTGAACCCAGGAGGCGGAGGTTGCAGTGAGCCAAGATGGTACCCTTGCACTCCAGCCTGGGCAACAAGAGCAAAACTCTGTCTCAATAAATAAATAAATAAATAATAATGGTGTTCATCTTCCTTTCCTAGTATCTCAACATCAAACTAACTGACATCAGTGTCACAGACCCTGAGAAATATCCTCACATGGTAAGTTGGGGTCTGTGGAGAAGAGGAAACACCTCCAAAGCAGGAGGCCTCTGGGTGGTTAGAGGACATTTTTAAGGGTGTTTTCACATTTGTCCATCTTTGTCTAGTTATCAGTGAAGAACTGCTTCATTCGGGGCTCAGTGGTCCGATATGTGCAGCTGCCAGCAGACGAGGTCGACACACAGTTGCTGCAGGATGCGGCAAGGAAGGAAGCCCTGCAGCAGAAACAGTGATGGCTCCTCCTCCTCTTCCCCTCCCTCTCTCATTGGTGACCCGTAACCCCAAGTCCCAGCCCAGAACCCCTAACCCCGAATACTTGAAGGGGTTTTGTTTTTTTACTAATGATGGTTTTGTGGGTTTTTTTTAAGGGATGAGTGGATGAGAGGAATAATAGGGAACAGCTATCCTCTCTTGAGAAGGGGAGGATAAGTTGGCTGGGAAACTTCAAAGCCTTCCCAGTCCCCAGCACCTGCCTTTCTCACTACTTCCCTGGAGATGGTAGGAGAGTTTCCTAGGTCTTTCCAGGGCAGCATGTGATTCATTTGGGGATAGAAGGAATCTGTCCCGCATCGGGAATAAAATTTATGATGCAAATTCGTGTTTTGGTTCTGTTACTGTGTGTTGGGCAGGGTGCTGGGATGTGGAAAAGGATGTCAAATTCATCCAAGTCCCTGTTACTCTCCATTAACCCAGCCAAGAATCCAACTCAGCTTCCCACTACTCTCCTTGGTATAAAGCATATAATACAGTTGCTGTTCACCATGTTTCCCCAACATGCCCCTACCTGCATGTTCTCCCTCTGGCCTTTTGCTTATACCATACCTGCAACTGGAGTGCTTGGTGTCCTTCCATTAATGTGACAGTGTTATAAGATGCACTTCATGCTACTGGACTTCGCCAATCCAACCAAATCAGTACATGTTTTCTGAATATGTACAGAAGATAAATACAAGTGATGTAATTTATATTTTGGAGAAAAGTTGTGACTGGGAATTACTAAACTTCATTCACTCATTCAGCAAAGAGTTCATGATAACAGATGAGACTTCTCAGCCTTAAGGGACCGTTAGAGACCATCTAGCATGACCCTCCTTTTCTTGTTTTTGAGATGGGAGTCTTGCTCTGTTGCCCAGGGTGGAGTGCACTGGTGTGGTCTGGCTCACTGCAACCTCCGCCTCCCGGTTCAAGTGATTCTCCTGCCTCAGCTCCAAGTAGCTGGGATTACAGATGCCCACCACCATGCCCGGCTAATTTTTTTTTTTTTTTTTTTTTGAGATGGAGTCTCACTCTGTCACCCAGGCTGGAGTGCAGTGGTATGATCTTAGTTCACTGCAATCTCCGCTTCCAGGTTCAAGTGATTTTCTTGCCTTAGCCTCCCAAGTAGCTGGGATTACAGGTGTGTGCCACCACACCTGGCTAATTTTTGTATTTTTACAAATACTCCAGCTCTGTCTCCAGGCTGGAGTGCAGTGGCACCATCTTGGCTCATTGCAATCTCCACCTCCAGGGTTCAAGCAATTCCCTGCCTCAGGCTCCGGGGTAGCTGGGATTACAGGCACCCGCCACCACGCCTGGCTAATTTTTGTATTTTTAGTAGAGATGGGGTTTCACCACCTTGGCCTGGCTGGTCTTGAACTCCTGACCTTGTGATCCACCCGCCTCGGCCTCCCAGAGTGCTGGGATTACAGGCATGAGACGGGCTTTCACCATCTTGGCCAGGCTGATCTGGAACTTCTGACCTCAGGTGATCCGCCCGCCTTGGCCTCCCAAAGTCCTGGGATTGATTATAGGCGTGAGCCACCGCGCCCAGCCGTCACCCTTTTCTCATACATGAGGAGATGAGGCTCAAAGAGGAAGCTGGACGCCAGGGCCTCGGCAAATGGACCTCCCCTTCGGTCCTCATCAGGCTGCTCCCTCCTGGGCTCTTCCCCGATACCGGGTGGGGAACGCTCTCCACCGGCAGGGCCAGCTGACCCTCTTGGGCCAGTTCCCTAGCTGCCCGCTGGGCGCCGCCCTCGCCACCCGGCCCGAGGACCCGCACAAGGTGCCCGTGGCGGCGCCTGACGGGAGCGCGGTGCCCGGGGGCGTCCTCTCGTCCTGCGTCCGCGCCCAGCGCCCCGGGCCCCGCGCTGTTCCTCGTGAGAGCGGCAGGCGGCTGGCGGCGGGCGGCGCGGCCCCCGGGGCAGTGTCGGACACGGTGGTGCGCGTACACGCAGGCGGGGCAAGGCTGCCCCCGCCAGGACCCGCAGGCCCGGAAACTCTCCCTGTCACAAAGGGGGGAACACGTGGGCGCCGGCTGCCGGGGCGGCTATCTCAGGGAACTAGGGTCACCTGGAGAGCCGCCCACCATCTCTGCCCGCTCGACTCCTCCGCCCCGGCCGCCCGGCCGGTCCAGCCGCGGCTGGCGCCTGGCTGTGAGGTGGATTCCCGGTCCAGTCTTACCAGCTCCCTCCAGTACGTACACGCGGCTCGAACCCGCGTCCAACCAGACGCCGACCGGCTCCTGAGAGTCTTCCACACTCCCCGAAGCCTCGCGATCATGGATAGTCCCTCTTCCCCAGGAGCTCCCTACTGTCACTGCTCCTCTGAGAGCCAGGTCCTTGGCTCCTGACAGCCTGCCTGGTCAGACCCTCAGTCCTGGGGGACTCGGGTGTCTGCGGCGGAGGAGCTCCCGTGAGGGTCCCCTCTCTACTCAAATATAGGACCCACCTGGATCCCTCAGTCATCCCCTGTCTCTCTTTCTTCTTAGGTTTTTCTACTTCGTTCGGACCCTCTCATAACTATGTCCATCCTCTACGTCTCCCCTCACCCAGATGCCTTCCCCAGCCTCCGAGCCCTCATAGCCGCTCGCTATGGGGAGGCTGGGGAGGGTCCCGGATGGGGAGGAGCCCACCCCCGCATCTGTCTCCAGCCGCCCCCGACTAGCAGGACTCCCTTTCCCCCACCCCGCCTGCCGGCCCTGGAGCAGGGGCCCGGTGGACTCTGGGTGTGGGGGGCCACGGCTGTGTCCCAGTTGCTGTGGCCTGCAGGCCTGGGAGGCCCAGGGGGCAGCCGGGCTGCTGTCCTCGTCCAACAGTGGGTCAGTTACGCCGACACGGAGTTAATACCAGCTGCCTGTGGAGCAACGCTGCCGGCCCTGGGCCTCCGAAGCTCGGCCCAGGACCCCCAGGTGAGGGGGTTGTTCAGAGGGGAGGGGAGAAATTCAGAGGAGGGAAGCCAGGACTGGAATGGACAGTGAGACAAGAAGGTAGCACATCAGATGTGGGAAAAGAGTGATCAAATCCCAGATTGCCAACCGGTATGGTAACCCTGGGCACGCTTCATAAACTCGCTGTGTCTTGGTCGTCCTATGTCTACGAACACACAGGCAAGTTGATGTAATGCTTGCCTCACTGAGTTAATAGGATTAAAAGATGTGCGCAGAGCACATAGTTTAGTGCTGGGCACTTTTAAAGTCTCTTAGTAAAAGTTTGATGAGTCTGAAATTGATGAGGATAGAAATTATTTGAATTGCAGGAAAAGACTGGGTGAGGGAGAGATGACAATTGCTGGGAGGAGATAAAAGAGAAATGAAATGAGGAAGGGAAGTGAGAGGAGAGATAACCCTGCCAGATTGTAACTATCAGTCCTTCCAAAGGAGACCTGAGCCTTGGTGTACTTTCAACTCCACCTCCTTGCATGGTGTGGAGCACATGATAGGAAATTAGTATTTATTGAATGGATGAATGAATGCGACAGACCCTGACTTGCTCCCTCATGTTGTGATCACCCTATAGAGTCCTTACATTCAGAATGTCTGTCCAAACAAACAAATAAAATAGAGTTCCTCTCTCCTGGAATTCCCTGTTCCCCTCTTTTTTTTCTTTTCTTTTCTTTTCTTTTTTTTAGACTGTGTCTCCTTCTGTTGCCCAGGCTGGAATGCCATGGTGCGATCTCAGCTCACTGCTCAAGTGATTCTCCTGCCTCAGCGTTCTGAGTAGCTGGGATTACAGGCGCTTGCCACCTCGCCTGGCTAATTTTTTGTGTTTTTAGTGGAGATGGGGTTTTGTCATGTTGACCAGGGTCTTGAACTCCTAACCTCAGATTGTCTGCTCGCCTCGGCCTCCCAAAATACTGAGATTACAGGCGTGAGCCACGGCGCCCGGCCCCTGTTCCCCTCATTCTGCTTTATTTTTCTTCATAGGAGTTAAGAAAAATATGGCATGGGTTTTTTTTGGTTTTTTGTTGTTGTTGTTGAGACGGAGTCTCGCTCTGTTGCCCAGGCTGGAGTACAGTGGCGTGATCTCAGCTCAATGCAAGCTCCATCTCCCGGGTTCACGCCATTCTCCTGCCTCAGCCTCCCTAGTAGCTGGGACTACAGGTGCCTGCCACCATGCCCGGCCAATTTTTTTGCATTTTTAGTAGAAGCAAGGTTTCTCCCTGTTAGCCAGGATGGTCTCGATCTCCTGACCTCATGATCCCCCCGCCTCAGCCTCCCAAAGTGCTGGGATTACAGGCGTGAGCCACCAGGCCCGGCCTGAGCACTGCATTTTATATTTGCTCATTTGTTGTTCCCCTACAAGAATGTTAACTCTACCAGGTCAGGGCTCTGTCTATCTGTTCGTGTTGTCCTCTCATTGCCTGGAGAAGTACTTAAATATTTATTGATGTCCTGAACCTGGCAGTTATTGAGTTGCCTCATATAATCTTTACTTCTATGCTTAACATATTGCATCTAACACATAAGTATTGAGTTTCATTTGCTGGATGAGTCAGAAGTATTTTTATTATGACTACTTGAGTGAAGAAATGGGACTCAGAGGTGGTGATTGGTTGGAGTGGGGTGGAGGGAGGCCAAAAGGAGGGTTGTGGTGGGAGATGGAGGCGGGCCAAACCTTGTCTCACACCTCTTCCCCTTCCTGCCAGGCTGTGCTGGGGGCCCTGGGCAGGGCCTTGAGCCCCTTGGAGGAGTGGCTTCGGCTGCACACCTACTTGGCCGGGGAGGCCCCTACTCTGGCTGACCTGGCGGCTGTCACAGCCTTGCTGCTGCCTTTCCGATACGTGAGTCACCAGGCCTGGGGAAGAACAAGACTGCTCCCCTCAAACCTCACTGTAGGGTGACTGAGAATAGTCATTTATTTCGTGTTCCAGGTCCTAGACCCACCTGCCCGCCGGATCTGGAATAATGTGACTCGCTGGTTTGTCACGTGTGTCCAGCAGCCAGAATTCCGAGCAGTGCTGGGAGAAGTAGTTCTATACTCAGGGGCCAGGCCTCTCTCTCATCAGCCAGGTGAGGCAGGGCGAGGAGTTGGAGGATAGGGGCTTCCCTGGGGCCTTCCATGCAACTCACTTTCTTTTTTTCATAGAAATGGCAGAATCACTGGGGCAGGGTCCTGCGGGAGAGGAGGGGGAGGGGGGAGGTCAGCATGGGCGAGACCTCGGGCATCTGAAATAGCCCATCTGAAACCTAGTAGTGCCATCCAAGAGGGTCCCCAGCTGGCTGAGTCTGAATTTCTGTGCCTCTCTCTAGGCCCCGAGACTCCTGCCCTCCCAAAGACAGCTGCTCAGCTCAAGAAAGAGGCAAAGAAACGGGAGAAGCTAGAGAAATTCCAACA